CAACTGGCCTCATCTCTTGTCTCTTCTTGTCCATCTCAGACACCGACGGCTCCTCTTTTCCATCGCGTCCCTTGGCTGCTTGGCTCCCCCAAGTTTTACCAGCCCTGCCTGGAAACTCATGGTGCAGATCTGTTGACGACTTCTCGGCGCCAGGATGTCATCCCATCCCATCTTGTGAGCCCATTCCAGAGGGTCATTCGTCACGCCCTCTCTCTCACCTCTCAGTTCTCACTATGGAGTATACACATCAGCCTCCGACTAAGCCCCGACTGCGATTGTCGCGGTGGGCTGCGAGTTGTTAGGCAAAACTTGCCCTCAGATGTTTGTCCGATATAGGAAACTCTGCACGTGAGACACTCGAGGAGTAGACCCAGAAAAGCCCCGGCAAGAAGAAGCGGAGAAGAAGCAGAAGCCGACTAGAAGCAGAACCAAGCAAGGGCAGATGGAGCCTCCAGTCAGTCACTCACTCAACCAGTCACCCATCAACCCCGTGCTACCAAGCCTGCTAAACCACCAAAGACAGCTTGGCTAACCCTTCTCTGCAGAATCGCAGCCAAGCAACCGCAGCCAAGCCAAAAATCAACGACAGAATGCCATCCACTGCCATGGGAAAAGGGGACAAGTGTGTCAGTGCTCTTGGCTACTCTCTTGGCTTTCGACGGCTTGTGCCTGTCCCGCCAAGTTTCCCCTCTCTCCGCGCCTCCAGTCAAGCCTCCCCCGCGCTTCTTCTTCGCGGGCTTCCCGGGAAGCCTCCCTAGACACCAAGAGTCAAATCGAGTTAAGAATTTTCCGACTGGCAACCCTGGCGCCAGACCCTGGGAGGCTCCCGTTTCACACAACCCAAATTTTACAAATGCCGGCGCCCCATTTTGACGCGCACCCCACGTCCATATGGACCCCTTCGCGCGCTTGGCAATGACCCGATGGAAGATCGACTGTCGTCTCGTTTGGGATATTGCCCATCATCAACCATTATCAGTCCTATTTGCCAAGCGCGACGGATGTGAAGCTGTGCCGAGTCGAGACGAAAGGTTGGATCAGCCACCACCGCTTACTTACACCTACAGAGACAGAGTAGCATCCACGCCATCCAACCCCATCATCAGGTCCCATACAACTTGTTTCTTATCCGTCAGGTCGAGCCGGGCTCTCAGACTTCCCGTCTCGACTCCCTCCGGCAAATCATGCTATAACAAACAACATCGGATCCGGTCAGCGGCCGGGATCATCGATGCTAGACACAAGTTGGGTCTCAGGCACGCCGCACCGCACCAAGTTGCTCGACTCGACTTAACCGCGGTCGACTTAGCCTACCTTTCCGCTCCCGCCGTCGTCCTCGCCCCCATACGGATACACACGGTTGTTGCCCACGGTGAACCTTGTTCCCGTTCAGGTCCTCCCGCTTCCCGCTTCCCGCGAGGCGGACGCTAAGGCCACGTCCCCCCATCACGAACCCACCAAGGCTCAACCCTCAGCTGCCTCATCCTTGGCAACGTCTTCTATTTCTGAATCGGCTGGGTGGCACAGGGACCGCTGTCCCATGTCAACGTTTATTCTTTCCCTACCCGCTTCTACACGGGCTGCATTGCGCGGGCTGTCATATGAAGCATATTAAAGCGAGTCGAGCCCAGACTTTGACCAAGATTTCCCTTTCGCCCATCATCAGAGCGTCTGTTGTCGTTCTATGCTTTTATCGCCCGTTTCTTCCTTCCGTTTTTTCCTTTCTCTTCGTTTCCACTCCTTTTTTATTTTCCTTGCTCTCAAACCTACGACAGCCGGGGCCAGATCAGCATTTTCGTCTGTTCTCTAACTGAAGCTGCGGGACAGCTTCTCATGTCCCCTTGTTCTCAGTTGCCTTCGCTTTACGAATGAGTCCTTGTCAGTAGGCGGCCCCGGATTATTTGGCTGCCTTTTTCCTTCTCAAACCCTCCTTATTTTTTATTTCAGGATTGCCAATCAAGCAGCAATCCTCTTTTGAGCGACAAATACCGGATTTTTTGTAATCAAGATGGACGGAATGAAAGAGCCCAAGCCCCAGTGTGGCGCTAAGAAGGGTGGTCAATCGGCTGAGTATGATGTTGGCCTTCACGTTGCTGGTCTTTGTAAGTTGGCCCCAAAACACTTTCCACTGGTGTCTTATCAATTTGGCTAACTTGGCGCAGTTTTGGTCTTGGCCTTTTCCATCTTCGGTATGCGATATGAACAAACGAAACGAGTCCTTTCGCGGGTCAACGTACTAATAAGACCGTTCCAGGCGCTGGCTTCCCAGTTGTGGCCAAGAAGGTCAAGTGGATGAAGGTTCCTCCTAAGGTCTTCTTCGCATGCAAGCATTTCGGTACAGGCGTGCTCATCGCGACGGCGTTTGTGCATGTAGGTTGTTTTGGCTCATTTAGTTGCACAGAACTAACACGGCACAGCTGCTTCCCACCGCCTTCGGCAATCTCATGAACCCGTGCCTCCCGGATCTCTTCACCGACGACTACCCACCCCTTCCAGGTGCCATCATGATGGGATCCATGTTCATTCTGTTCAGTATCGAGATGTGGATCAATGCCAAGATTGGCGGCCATTCCCACGGAGGACCTACTGGTGATGTGATGCACGACCACGGTCACGGAGCCGTCCAGCCTGCCCGGCCTCCTCGTTATGGCCGCAACAGCTTCGATGCCGAGGCAGACAGCATTGACTTTGAGAAGCGAGTCGCACAGCGCGCGTACGACGACGAGAAGTCACGCTTCCCTGCGCCTTACTCGGAGACTGTGTATGGAGCGCCACCACCCGCCAACACCAACTTGTCCGACTCTGACATGCCGCCTTGGTTCGTCGTTTTCTACGAGCAGTATGTGCGCCAGCGTATGGAGATGATGAACATGATCCGAACCACCCAGGAGAAGCAGACGTCGTCGCAGGTTGCTGTTACGGAGCTCAAGCAGGAAGATCCGTTTTATGATGCCGAGGGTCAACAGGTTGACCCCGCTGTGTATCGCAAGATGTCTCTCAACATTACCATGCTTGAAGGTGGTATCCTGTTCCACTCAGTGTTTGTCGGCATGACCATCTCCATCACTATTGATGGTTTCATCATTCTGCTCGTCGCTATCCTGTTCCACCAAATGTTTGAGGGTCTTGGTCTCGGTTCCCGTATTGCCGCTGTGCCGTACCCCAAGGGCAGCATTCGTCCCTGGGTATTAGTCGTCGCTTTTGGCACCACAGCCCCCATCGGACAGGCCATCGGACTTCTCACCCGCAGCAGTTACGATCCCGACAGTGCGTTCGGTCTCATCATCGTCGGTGTATTCAACGCCATGTGAGTTGTTCAGTCCGTTCGTAATAAACCTCGGCTAATGTGACTTAGATCCTCTGGCTTGCTGCTCTACGCTGCTCTCGTCGATCTTTTGGCCGAAGATTTCCTCTCAGAGGAGGCCAACCGCCTTCTTTCCAACAAGCAAAAGATTACTGCCTTTTGCTACGTTCTCGCCGGAGGTTAGTAATATCCGTGAAACATTTTTGCATGTAAACACCACTGACATACTACTAGCTGCGGGCATGTCAATTGTCGGTATCTTCGCCTAAGTCCTTACCGATACCCCCAGGAAGCAAACTTCCTCCACACCCCTCGATCAGTCTCCCGCGAGGGCGCAAAACACCCAGTCCGGACCAGTCACGCAATCAGTTTACACGGCTCGCCGGAACACCGAGGCCCACTTCAGCCGATGAACTCCGAACTCGACAGGACTTTGATAGCAGAGATGAACGCTCGTTATCTTTCAAATGCTGCGCCGGATTTTGTCTCACGGGTCGTGAGGAGACGGACTGTTTCTCACTACCTATCAACAGCAACTCTCACAAAATCTACCACATTCGTTTTTTTCTTGCTATCGCTATTCCCAGCACCATTTGTAGCCAGGGATTTTGTACAATAGTAGTGATGTGGCGTGCGTTGTCAAGACTTGTCTGACACGCAAGGCACAGCGAGTGCATACCGGCAACAGGCAATATTGTTTGGGAGATTTTACTTTTTCTGGGAAACTCTACATTGAGCATTACAAAGGTGTTAAAACTAATGATAAATTATGGGCATACAACATATCACGAGTCTTATGATAAAAGACGTGGAGGACACTTGTACGATAGGGTTGCCCGAAAGGGTCGGGCATCACATTACTAGACTGCATCAAATATTACAACATCCTTATGACATTGTCAGTCCGAACGCTGTCCCCTGTGCCTATCTAATTCGATCATTTCCTCCAGCCAGGGTTTTCTAAGCGGTCACACCATGGCGTACGGACCCATCAAAGCCCGTCTCCGATCATACCATGAGAGACGATCTACAGCCCGTGTAAATATTGGGCCTTTGCAGGCTTGGAGAAGACAGATGCAGACGGAAGAGACAGACGAAAGGGATTAAGTAGCCGAACAAGAGCTCGATTAGACTTTCTTACCCAGACCTATTGGCGTCTGAAATAAAGTAGTACTGGTAACAGCGCGCATCGATAAGGAGGAGGAGGAGGAGGGATCGAGAGATAGAAAGCGAGAGAGAAACGGGAAAGAAAAGACAAGATGCCAAGCAGCTTCACAATAGAAGCAGATAGCGGAAACGAAAAAAAAAAAAAAAAAAGACTGGGCAAGATCAAGAGAAGTACCAAGAGACCAAGAGACGAAAGGCGACGTTGAGAAAGGGTTGCCGAAGTTTAGCGTGTGCCAGGTATGACCCATGATGCAACCATGTTTGCATGGGCGGTGTGGGATGTCAGGCTGCTAGACACGGCCGACCTTGGAAACGAAACCAGCCTTGCCTTTTTTTTTTTTTTGGTCATTTTTCCTTTTCTTGCTTTACGTGTAGGTACGTTGTTTTACGCTTCTCTGTCTCTCTTCTTTTTTTTTGTTTCTCTGTGTCTTTAAACCGTGGGCGTGACTTGCCGCCGCCTGTCCCTGCATATCAGAGATGTCAGAGAGAGGGGGGAGGGACCTAGGGTGTTATGTTTTAACCATGTTCTTTATAAGGTTATTACACGGGCCGGAGGATTGCTGCATTGTTGAAAGGCAAGGCAAGGGCTGGTGGAGGATGGGGAGAGGGAAAGCGGAAAGGCGTGTTTGTCCTGTGAGGGTGAGGGTTGGTGATGCATGCATACATGCAGGGCCGGGCTTCCCGCGCGACTACTGCAAGGGGCATGCTTCGCACTGCATGGGATCGTGGATGACGATTCTTCTTCTGCTGTTGGGTGTTGGTTGCTGCTGTTGTGGATGATGTTGCAAGGCAAGGCAAGGTGCAAGGCAAGGCAGGCAGGCAGGCACCCTAGAGTTGGACATGGGAGGGTTGTCGAGGATGGCTGAGGTAGCGGGGGTTCAGAGGGGGGATGGTGTCACTGGTGAAGCTATTAATATGAACCCCAGACAGACATCTGAGGCGGCGGAGGGGAGGCTCAAAACTCCAGACGAAAAGAAGGAGGTGTACACTAGTGTAGGCCCAAGGGGGGAAGGGGGCACGGAGAGTTGGGTTACATGCGGACGGATGAATGGGGGAAAGGGGGGGAACGTTGGTTGGGTTTGAGGTTTGGCTGCGCTGCGCTGCTGCAGACTGCACTGCGGAAGTATGCGGCGCACAAGGAAAGCGGCGAGCGCTTATTAGGCAAGGTAAAGTCACGATGACGATGGACGGATGGTGGTTGTGGTTCTAGAAGTTTTGAGTCGTTGTTTCTTGTTGTCTCTTCTCATGCACGCTTTGCTTCTTGCCTTGAGGTGCGCATACCGCATCTCTGCAGATCTTGCCTTACAGCAGTAGCTTGCCTTAGGTGCATACCTGCATTACCTGCAGAGGCACAGACTGCTGCAGGCACTCGCCGGCGGCCGAATGCACCGCGGCTTGAACCTTGTTGATCCTTTATGAAGAACAAAAAAATGAAAACGTCCCGAGAGGCGTTATGCAAAGAAGGTATGTGTGCAGTAGTCTCGTGATGAGAAGTCTAGGAAGGTTTTCCGACGATCTGGGGATACCTAACTTTACAGAGGGCTATGTAAGAAAGGATAAAAAGAGGAGGGGAAAACGTGAGATTGGCTTTGCTTGGCAGGCGTCACTTTTTTTTTCCTTGCTAAAAGAGGGATCGAATCTTACACGAGTGCCCGATTCTGAGGTTAACCTCATGGAAGATGAAAAGCTTATGAGATGCTTTTTGGGTGCTTGTTTGGAAGGATGAAGCGGGAATCCGGAGTTTGCCAAGGATTCAACTGTCTCTCAGCATGGCCACAATACGCATCGTGCAGAACTCTCTCCCCACACACATGAAGTATGTGACTAGTACGTCAAATAGGGCGAGCGAAACGTTTCTGTCTATGAGAAGAAATGGAGAATAAGTAAAGAAGTGAGGGAAAAAAAAAAGACGGAAATAATGGGAAAATCCCGATGACTGACCAAGACCGTGCATCTATCCTACATCCGTTATTCGGTTTCCTTCGGGCGGTTTGAGGGCTGTCTGCGGTATGACTATGACCTCCTAACTAGGACACCCCCCGCCCCCGCTTCCCTTTGTGCCAGGATCGAGGTTCGAAGGTTTCGAGTCGAGCGCGCCAGAGAATGAGAAAACAAAAGATGGGCAACTCGTCACGAGGCAAAAGGGAGGCAGGCAGGCTGAAGGGTGTGTGTATCAGAAAACGATGGTGAGATGGGTGGATGGATGGTGGGCACTTGCTTTTACAAATACGAAAAAGTCTTGGCACGTGTATGATAATCGCCCGATGAGCACGGAAACCGTTCGTAACGACATAGTACCTGTACAAGATATAAGACAATTATTCCAAAGAAGCAAAAGTTGACGACAAATACAATTCGAGCAGAAAAGGGGGTTGCATTTCATGTAGTACCAAAAGATAAAATGTCATGCGGCTTACGACGACCAAGTCGTGCCGGATGCAACGGTATAGTACCTCAGTTACTGTGGTATATGGCTGGCCCTCCGAAAGGAAGATTTTCATCCGGTGTTCGAGCCAGAGATCCGGCCAACCATCCCCCGCCCAGGCAGAAGGCTCGGGCTGGTGACACAGAGATCGGAGGCTACAGAGGGTTGGTGTGTGGCAGTGATGGTGTGGTGTGATGATGTGCTGATTTGACGGGCATCTGACAAGACGAGAAACCTGGGAAGATGGAAGACCTGCTACCTCTTGTTCTGCACCGACCATCAGCTAGTTACCAGAGGGAAGGGGGGAGGGGGGTGTGTGAGAAACGAAACAGAAACTCGAACCGGGAGGTCGAGAGGCCGCATGGACGTTGTTAAGCAAGTAGAGGACAGAAAGGTTTGCCTGTGGGAGGAATGTTGCATTCCGTCATTTTTCCTTCGAGGTGTGCGTGCGAGAGTGTGCGAGTGTGAAGTGTGTGTGTGTGTGTGTGTGTGTGTGTGTGTGTGTGTGTGTGTGGCAATTTCAGGCAAGACTTGCCTGAAGGGGTCTTTCGGTATTTCCTTCTTCGTCTTCTTCTTTTCTTAGCAAAGACGCAAGACAGAAGAGAAATCTTCAGATGAAGAGGCGGGGCTGGAGGTTTTTTGCGATGAGACTTCCGAATCTGGTAGACAGGCAACCAGTCGGCAAACATGCCTTTTTTGTATTTCTAAAATAGCGTTTTATGTTGTGCTGCCCCATGGGAAAAGATTGCCAAAGGTCTTGTAAAGTGTAATTTGAGAGACACACAAGTGTTCAAGATCACACGTCTTTCGTCGGCAGGTGCGGAAGTTCGTGGCGTGCCTCATTTGGGTGAGGTACTATCATCACACTCGTCGAGATAGCAGAGCAGATAAGTCGAGACGAAATTCGCTCCCGAAGCTAGAGATGAGAACGAGTGCTTCTGAGAGAGTGGAGCTGCTGATATAGGCTCAGAGTCAAACCGTCCGGTGACGTGTCTGCCACGGCTTTTCTTACCCTGGGATAACAAGCAGTTGATATGATCTGGCTCAGTAGCTCCAAAGAGGTTGGCTTGTGCTCTTGGAACTTTCTGCTCCGTTCTACCAGAGTTCCCCCTTTTGAAATTCAATGTCTATACTGGACAGAAGCAGACCTAATCTGCAAAGTTCAATTGGCGTTGCGTAGAGTGAGTTCGCAGATGGAAGGTTTGAACGACTTTGAATGGATGTGATGATGTGGCAGAGAGGAGGGCAATACACTTCAAGACCATGATCATTGAGTTTTCAGACATCAACTTTGACATCAACTTTGAAGAAGACAAATCCTTTGCGCTCGTTCAACAGCCTTAGCCTATTGTGCTATTGCCTTCAAATATGACACAGAACTAACCCAGGTGAGATGAGACTGCTCTACCGTTATTTTACTTCTAAACGCTTCGGGGAGGATCGCCGAGACTAGAAAGCAAAGAGTTGGGCAGACCGTTCCTAGGTTTAAGCAGTAATATGGGTAACGCTCTTCTTGGAATTAACTCTACTCGTCACATAGTTTGGCGCTTTGTTAAGTGTCTTCTGAGCGAGTACTCTAGTTCACTATTGTTCGGCGACGTGGGAGGCTAGTCGGTCATCAAACTTGTCGTTGAGTAACCCCATATGTCATCTTTTCATTCATCCATTACACAATATGTACATAGAAAGCGGCCAAAGGTGGCCTAGGCCATCGACTGCCGTCGAAAAAACTTGACCGTAAAATGCCCTCGGGAACTGCAAAAGACAAGCCCCTTAGACAACCGTCACAGTCGCATTCCCGCGGAAATCATCGCTCGAAGACCCGACAAAGACGGTGAAATCGCCCGGCTCAACGACGTACTGCAGCTTCTTATCCCACAAACCCCACGAGGAGACGGGCAGGTCAATCGAGACATCAGCGGTCTCGCCGGCCTTGATGAAGACCTTGGAGAAGCCGCGCAGCTCCTTGTTGGGCACGACGATGGAGGAGATCATGTCCTTGACGTAGACCTGGACGACCTCTGCGCCGTCGCGGGTCGAGTTGTTGGTCACCTGCACGCTAAGGGTGACGGTGTCGGTGGGGGAGACGGTGGAGGCGGAGACGGAGATGTCGTGGTAGTCGAAGGTGCTGTAGGAGAGACCGTAGCCGAACTGTGGTTGGATTTGGGTTAGAAAGACTGTCAAGAAGGAGAGGGGAAAAAAAAGGAGCTGTTAGATGTGTTCTTACTTCGTACAAGGGCAGAGGAGTCGACAAGACGTAGTTGCTGCCAAAGACCAAGGTCCCGTTGGCGTACTCCTTACCCGGGTTGGGCCAGGACCGGGCGGAGTTGAGATAATCGTAGTACACAGGCGTGGTACCGACATCATGCGGGAACGCGACGGAAAGCTTGCCAGACGGGTTCACGTTTCCGTACAGGATATCCGCCAGCGCGTGACCGCCCTCCTCTCCCTGGTAGAACATCTGCACCAGCGCGCCAGCCTCGTCCGAGATCCAGGGCTCGGTAATAGGCTTTCCGGAGCTGAAGACGACGACAGTGGGCTTGCCCGTGTCGATGACGGCCTTGACGAGGCGACCCATGGCGCCGACGAGCTTGAAGTCGTGGACGTCAATGTGCTCGCCCGTGGTGGCGTTGAGGCCGGCCCAGAGCTCGTCCTGGTCGCGGGACCAGGTGCCCACGACGACGACGGCGACGTCGGCGGCCGAGGCAGCGGCGACGGCCTCGGGGAAGCCGGACTCGTCGTTGGACCAGCGCTCGGCGCCCTTTGCGTAGGTTACTGTTCCGGAGCTGGCGGCCTTGATGCCGTCGAGGGGGGTGACGCCGCGTTCCATTGCGGTGTGGATGACGTAGTCGCCGTACTGTGTGATATATTGTTAGCATGGGAAAGGCCTTATCGTATAAAGCTTCACAAAAACTTACGTTGACCAATCCGTGGGCCATGGGGCCGATGACGGCGACGTGAGCGTCCTTCTTCAGGGGCAGGGTCTCGTTGTGGTTCTCAAGCAGGATAATGCTCTCGGCGTCGAGGTCGCGGGCGATCTTGCGGTGCTCCTCTGTGTTGAGGTAGTTGAAGACCTCGTCGTCGGGGACGCCGGTGTACGGGTGTTCAAAGATGCCCGACTTGAACTTTGCGCGGAGAACGCGGGAGACGGCCGTGTCGACGACGTCCTCGGGCAGAGTACCGTTGGCGATGAGCTCGGGGATGTACTGGAAGCTGTAGCGTCCGCCACCCATCTCGACATCGTTACCGGCAGGGAGGGACTGAAAGACTGGTGAGCAGGGCGTTGTACTAGGGAGCTTAACAGAGCTACGTACGTTGAGGGTGATGCAAGCATCATCGGTCTCTCCGCAGACAAAGAAGGCGTTGGAAAGACGAGCGGTACCGCCAGCATCGGACTGAAAGTGTTAGTTACATTCAGTGTCCGGTGTAAAGTCAACAACTTACGATAACATAGTACTCGTAACCCCACTCCTCGCGCAAGATCTCAGTCAGCAGGTGGTGGTCTGCGACCGTGGGGACACCGTCATAGGCGTTGTACGAAGACATAATGCTCCAGGCGTCGGCATCAAAGATAGCGCGCTTAAAGGCGGGGAGGTAGGTGGTGCGAAGCTCTCTGGGACCGCCGTGGACGGGAGCCGTGTTGACACCCTGCTCGGGGGAAGCAAAGGCGGCAAAGTGCTTGACCATGGCGCACACGCCGTTCTCCTGGAGACCCTTGGTGTAGTGGTAGCCGTACTCGCCGACCCTGGTCTGAGTTAGCTTACGACTTGGTGATGTCCTCTAGGAGTACCATCATACAAGAAAGGATCCTCGCCGTAGGTCTCTTCGACACGGCCGAATCTCAGTTCACGAGCCAAGTCAACTACGGGGGCGAAGATCTGGTTGACGCCGAGAGCCTTGGACTCGACAGCGATGACCTTGGCCATCTTCTCAACCAGCTCCGGGTTCCAAGAGCAACCGTGGGCAATGGGCGAGTTGAAGATGGTGGCGTTGAGGGCAAGGAAGCCGTGGATACCCTCGCTCTGGATGAAAGCCGGAATGCCTAGAGAGTCGGTCTCAGCATCACAGTTCTACTTGGACCCAATTGAATCAAGCAAGAGATCTCACCCAGAGTGGTGTTGTTCACCAGGTAGTCCTGAGCGACCTTTGCTCCGTAGGAAATGGTGGACACATTGGAGTAAAGACCGGTCCAGATGGAGTTGGCTCTGTTCTCGGCGGCCCAGGTCAGACCGCTTTGGTTGAAGCGGCCATCGGTCAGGTTGAGGTAGTCACGAATGTCGGCTTGGAGTAGTTGAGCCGTCTTCTCCTGGATGGTCATGCGCTTCAACAGGTCAGAGACTCTGTCGTCAATGGGGGCATTCGGGTTCTTGTAAAGGGGTGAAGTGCCATTGGGGAATGTGCCGTTCTGGGCGGAGACGGCCGCGACCAGCAGCGAGGCGAAAGTCAGAGAGAACTTCATGATGTTCCGCGATCCGGGGTTCCGAGTCAATGGAACACTGGCTGGGGTGACGTTCGGCTAGAGATCCAGAGCTCAACGGAAGAAAGGGACACGATCCTGGAGACGAAGGCGAGCTGGTAGAGGGTATTAATACAGCTTCTCACAGCTCGCCCCTGGGCCCTCTCTCTGCAGGCAGACTGCAGCTCGTTTGGAGCCGACATTGAGTAACCTGATTAGTGACATGATGCCCACGGCCAAGGAGCCGAAGTGAAATAGACGTAATTGCAATGGGGCAAAGGGCCGGTGAGGAGAGAGCAGCCTTCTCCGCATCGATCATATTTTATCCGTATTGTACAAAGAAAGGAGAGAAAGGAGAGAAAAAAGGGTGTACCGAGTACCCCTAGTCCGTCCCCGAAAGGCAAAAGTGAGGAGCGATGTAATGCTAATTTGCGCTCCCGCAGCGGTCTTGTCCGACATTCATTGGGCAGAAGTTTAAGGAATGGAAGAACCCTGGGCGGTTACTGCACATGGCCTCGCAGGGAGTGGCGGTGTTGGGACCAAGAGGAAGCGGACTGACGACAGACCAGAGCTATGAGCTGTCGAATAGCTAATTGGGATTGACAGTGTCCTGGTTTGTATGTATGAAGCTGGCCGTGATGGCATGAGGGGAAGCCAGGAAGCCGTTGGAGATGGAAAAGTTGGAGAAATTCTGTGTCTCTTTCTCACACAACAGGACTGGACTCAATGGAAGACGGGAGGTTGCTTCTGCCGAACCGACCGGGGGTTCCACTTGTTTGTGGAGGAGAAGGAGGCATGTGGGGAAGGAGACAAGCGACAGGTACGTTCCTTACTCCTAAAGTACCTTACTACTAAGGTACCTTACTCCGCAAGGCAACGGCCAGCCGGGTGCTTGGCGAGTGGATCCCGAACCGGCCGGTTTCCACCAATGAAGTCCATCGCGGCCCCAGCTGATCCGGACCCCGAGAACCGCCCAAATCCGACCAGTCCGGTTGAAGAACGGCAACAGCACTAACACATACGGCCCCGGGGGGAAACGGGAGGAAACCCCAAGTAAACCCCACACTAACTGCCCAGCGTGAAATGGCACAAGTCACCTTACCTTATCCATTCATCAGATCACTCCCCCCCAGATCTCCGCAAAGTCACGAGTCTATGCCACATTCTGCGGCAATACTCGTTCTTCCCCTTCTCCTACAGGCTACAGACTGCCCTCATCATCCCGCTCTCCGGCCCACTTCGGATCCTGCGCCATCGGGCCGCACCCCGGGACCAATCGGTGGACGTCAATGGCTAAACATGAATCAGCGGCCTCGTCCCCGAGGCTCGCTCTATTGCGGAGTACCGGCGGGATTGCGACGATGGGATTCGCTCAATATCTCCCCGACAGCGGGACTCTGCCGTGTTGCGTGTGAGCCCTCTCTCCAAGACGACCCCTCCGATTAATCCTCCGTACGCCTCGTGCTCCAAGAAATTTTGTCGTACAAGAGACGAGATTCACTTCAGTCTTGAGCCGCTTCTCCCGGCTGAATTGTGTTCCTCTTGATTCATCACAACCGTCTTCTCTCTGTTTCGTCGTCCTTTTTGTCAGTGTGTGTGAGAGATACCCCCCCTTTCAAGGAAATCATCATGGTCCGTCTTCGCGATGGCATGTGGCTGCCCGCCGAGGGCACGGCGACAGAGTACGCAGAGGAAGTTTACTACACCACTGAGATTGAGGGTGGAAAGGGCCTCAGCTTGTTGTGCCCGACGAGAAAGATCAAGACGCGGGGTCACACTTTGAATGCGAGCACAGTCACTCTTGTAAGTCAACGACTCATACCCTCACTTTCACTCCTCACCATGAAATGCCTTTGCTCACACGCAGCAACAGGATGTCAAGGCCGAATTCGACGGCGTCATCTCAGTCGAGGCAACGCACTGGGCCGGCGCCCTCAACAAGGGCCCCCATTTTGAGCTCTTCCCCGACGGCAGACCACCAGAAGCCGAGACAAAAATCACAGAGGGCGACAAGGGCACGACGACCCTGACCTCGGGCTCGCTGTCCGCGACCATCCACCCAGACTTTGACATACAGTTCCACAGCACCGACGGCGCCAAGCGGCTGACGTCGCTCGGCAGCCGAAGCGTCGGCCTCGCCTACAACCCCGCGCCAAGCACCCCGATGCAGACGGGCGACATGCGCGACTTCAAGCACTACATGTTCACCCAGACCACCCTCGGCGTCGGCGAGACCATCCACGGCCTCGGCGAGCGCTTCGGCGCCTTCAACAAAGTCGGCCAGTCCATCTCCCTCTGGAACGCCGACGGCGGCACTTCCAGCGAGCAGGCCTACAAGAACGTCTCCTTCTGGCTCAGTTCCAAGGGCTACGGCGTGTTTATCGACACGCCGGGGCGCGTGGAGCTCGAGGTCGGCAGCGAGCGCTGCAACCGCCTGCAGACCGTCGTCGAGGGCCAGCGGCTCAAGTGGTACCTCATCTACGGGCCCACCCCGAAAGACATCCTCAAGCGCTACACCACGCTCACGGGCCGCGCCGGCAAAGTACCCAGCTGGAGCTTCGGCCTGTGGCTGACGACGAGCTTTACGACGAACTACGACGAGGAGACGGTCAACACGTTCCTCGAGGGCATGAAGGCCCGCGGCTCGCCCGTCGACGTGTTCCACTATGACTGCTTCTGGATGAAGGCTTTCACGTGGACCGACTTTGTCTTTGACTCCGAGCGCTTCCCGGACCCGAAGGCGCAAATCGCCCGCCTCAAGGAGTCCGGGCTGTGCAAAAAGGTCTGCGTGTGGATCAATCCCTACATCGCGCAGCACGGCGAGGCCTTCAAAGAGGCCGCGGACAAGGGATACCTCGTCAAGCGCAAGAACGGCGACGTCTGGCAGTGGGACCTGTGGCAGGCCGGCATGGGCCTCGTGGACTTCACCAACCCGGATGCCTGCGCGTGGTACGAGGAGAAGCTCAACACCTTGTTCGACCAGGGCGTCGACGCCATCAAGACGGATTTCGGCGAGCGCATCCCGACCCTCGACGTCGAGTGGCACGACAAGACGATCGACCCGGTCAAGATGCACAACTACTATGCCTTCTCCTACAACAAGGTCGTCTACGAGGCGCTGCAGAAGCGCTACGGCGCCGACGAGGCCGTCCTCTTCGCACGCGCCGCGTGCGCCGGCACCCAGCGGTTCCCGCTCCAGTGGGGCGGCGACTGCGAATCCACGCCCGAGGCCATGGCCGAGTCGGTCCGCGGCGGGCTCGGGCTCGGCCTCAGCGGCTTCTCGTTCTGGAGCTGCGATATCGGCGGGTTCGAGGGGTACCCGCCGCCGTGGATCTACAAGCGGTGGGTGGCCATGGGTCTGCTGTGCAGCCACAGCCGGCTGCACGGGAGCAGCTCGTACCGCGTGCCCTGGGTGATTGACGACGACGATAAGTCCGAGGAAGGGTGCTCGCAGACGCTGGCGACGTGGACGAAGCTCAAGGCGAGGTTGATGCCGTATATCTACGCGCAGGCGCAGACGGCGGTGGAGAGGGGTTTGCCGCTCTCGCTGAGGGCCATGTGCATCGAGTTCCCCGAGGACCCGACGTCGTGGTACCTCGACCGGCAGTTCATGGTCGGCGACAGCCTGCTTGCGGCGCCCATCTTTGAGGAGTCGGGCGAGGTGGAGTTTTACCTGCCCAAGGGGAAGTGGACGTCGTTCTTCTCCGGGGAGCACCGCGAGGGGCCGGGGTGGTTCAAGGAGACGCACGGGTTCGGGACGCTGCCGTTGTACGTGCGGGAGAACTCGATTCTCGTGCTGGGAGCTGAGACGGCCGTCGGCGCCGTGTATGACTACGTGAGGGACAATGAGGTGCGGCTGTACCAGGTCAAGGAGGGGGCGGCGGCGACGCTGGTGGGGAGCGACGGTAAGGAGATTGGTGTTTTGGAAGTTGGGGCGGATGGGAAGCTCAAGGATACCGTCTTGTTGAATGGCAAGATTTCCATCAAGGAGCTCTGAAGTGGTGTTGGATGGTTATGATGATGACATGGTTCGCGGACTTTTGGCCTGTTGAGTGGCACGTCATTGCTTTTGATGAATTATATGAGGCTATCTCGCATATCGGATTAGATGGCTTAGAGCCGGGCCTTTGTTTTCTAGTTCCTTGGTTTAAGTCTACTTACGATTTTCCAACAGTATTATCATCGTGATTAAGACCCCTTCCATCTGCATTCCTTCGCCGATGGGTGTCCGGCCCGTCCCAGCGGAAGGGAGCAGCCAACCAAGACTTGGCGGATAGTCGGGCATCCCCCACTCGCAAGATCCCAAGCCATGGAATGAAGCTATATGCTCTACCCCGCGTCGCTTACGATGAGCCTTGGAAGTAGTAGAAGGCGTCTCCTGAGACAAGGTACATCAAGCCAACATTTCAGCACCATGTAAGTACCAAACCCCCCTCATTCCCCAAACTATCTGGATGCAATCTCCAACTTACGATGCCCCATGCAAGCAGTACCTAGATTTTTGTTCGTAGTCCGGGCCAGGGAGCCCAGGAAACTGACCAGGGGGCTCACCCCAGCCGGCTACATATTTCCCCGCGAACCACAGATCATCTCATCTCCGCACTTTCCCCCCCTCCCTCTTCCCCCCGCACATCTCGGCCCCAGATTCCCTGATTGTGTACGAAGTAGCCACTCATACATCTCCAAGGCCGCCGCTACGTAAATCGCAGCGGTTGCCGTATATTGTGTAAAAAGCACATGTTCGAAATAATTGACCACGAGATCATCAGAAAAATCGTTGCCTCCTTACAGGCTTAGCTTGAAGCCTCACTGGCACAGGTGGTCCCAAAAGGGGGGCAAACGAACGAAATTGCCAAGCTGTGCAATTATATGATGCAACCTGTTGGCCTCTTCCCCCCTATATCTCGCAGAGTTACATCTATTGTACGCATGTATGCAATCTATCTCGACGTAGTGGAAGCTGGACCTGCAGGAACCTGGCTAACCCCTTGACATAATCGTCC